CTTGAACCTATATGGGATACGATATGCATAGTAAAGACTAACTTTATTTATTCATATTGGATTCAATTTCAAGGGTACTGGGCATACATACAATCCCACCGAAGTTCCATCAAGAGCTAATATAGCAGCATTAAAACACATTGGAGTGGAAATAATCATTGCATTTTCAGCCGTAGGATCTCTCCGTGAAGAAATTAAACATAGAGATTTTGTAATTCCTGATCAGATTATTGATCGTACCAAGGGAATTCGTCCATCCACCTATTTTGAAGGAGGAATTGCTGCTCATGTGACATTTGCTGATCCGTTTAGTCCTTTACTTGCCGAGATAATCTATTCGCATCGTAAATGTCTCGAAAATCCTGAAAATGGAGATGGTATAAATTTGCACTGTAACAAAACCCTTGTTTGTATAGAAGGACCTGCGTTCAGCACCAGAGCTGAATCTCATCTGTATCGTAGTTGGGGGTGTGATATTATTAATATGTCCGTATTACCTGAGGCGAAGTTAGCTAAAGAAGTTGAAATTGCTTATCAAATGATTTGCATGTCGACAGATTATGATTGTTGGAAGCCAAATGAAGTTGTATCCGTTGAAAGTGTGATCGCAAATTTGCGTCAGAATGTAGATAATGCGAAAAAACTTTTATCCGAGATACTACCTGATTTGGAAAAAGCATTGAAAGAAGGAAAATTTGCATACCTAAAGGGTTCCATGAAAAATTCATGTATAACTGACAAAAGAGTAATAACCGAAAAGGCGATTCAAAAGATAAATTACGTATTGCCCGGATATTATGATTGATTCTTTTGATGTAATCCACGGACATTCATATACATAAATAAATAAAAATATTTAAAAATCCAATTATCTTAAAAAATAATTTATTACAATTCCTGATTCTGACTTTTTCAAATTTTTATAATCATTAGAATAAAATTTAGATGAATTAAACTTTTAAAGATTATTTTTCAAATGAATTTTTAACTTGAAAATTTTTTAAAAAATGTGTATAGATTAAAAATTTCTATATTTAAAAAATTATATGTTAAAACTTAGGTTTTCTTATATTATTGACAATATATTAGACATATATTGTTATTAACTTTTTATAATTTGATTAATAGAAAACATTTTTGAAAAAAAAACTCTTATTTATTCATTAATAGTTTTTTGAAAAAAAAATTTTATAGTAATTTTCTTTGAAAAAATATTTTTTACATTATATAAGCTCTAAATTTAAAACTATAAACTTTAAAAACTATTATTTTATTTAAATTAAACAAAAAACAAGTTTTAAAGTTTTATCCATTTTTTAATTATATATAAAAAAAATTTATAACAATCTTTTTTTATAACTTTATTTTTCTTTTTAATTTAATATAATTAATCATTTTTTTATTTTTTTAATATTCACTAGTTCAAATGGGTTATTTGGCTACTGAAGTACAGTTGATTAAATTCAAATTTATTAATAAAAGTTTATACCAAAGTTTTGTTGTTTGGTTTAATTTATGCCATTCAGTACTTAAAAAAAATACAATAATTTAGCAAAAAAAATATAATATTTGGCAATAAAGTTACAATATTCTGTAATAAAAATTATAACATTTGGAATAAATTTTTATTATTTAACTATAAAGTTGACAAAATTATTTGATATTATATACTTTAGTAAAATCAAATTATATATTTTCAATAAAAAAATTGCATTTATAATAATATTTGGCAAAATTTAATTAATACTTGATAAATTTATTAAAAATATAAAAAATATAAAATTTGAAATAATTATTCACTAGTTATTCATTAATTATTTACTAGTTATTCATTAATTATTCACTAATTATTCACTAATTAATTATTTAATAATTATTCACATATTATTCACTAAATTTCTCCTTCATTTCTTTATCTGAATCTTTCTGCTTATAATCTTTATATTTTTCTTTTACTGATTTCGTCATGGTCTTTGTAACTCTCAAAGATTTTATAATGCCAAGTTTTCTTTGCTTTGGGATGCTTTTTGTGCTTCTTATACTTCTTATGTAACAAATCTATAGACGTCCGGCAAAAATTCCAATTTTTTTTGAAAAGTCAGATGACAACCTCTCAAACAATCTTAAGAGACTATAGGTATTTTGATGAGAGAAATATCTTTTATTAATGGCCAAAAAGATATTGTTAATAATGATTTCTTAATAATCAAGGATTTAGACTTCCAGCCAAAAAACACTAATGATTAGACTTAAACACATATCCGAAGTCACATGACATCCGCCGATCCCGAAGCTTTGGAGTGACGCAAAACTTATAATGATTATTAATTCAACATGATTTCACTAATTAACATGTGTTATCAATTAGTAATTGATATCAAGGGGTTATAGAATATTGTTAATGTATTTGATTAACATTATCATTCATTTATTATCTTATTTTATTTTCTTTTTCTTTATTAATTCATATGATCTCCAGGAGAACTACTAAGATTATATGTATTTTATTTTTTATATATTTTATTTATTTATATTGGGAAAACATGTATTTAAAGATTGTATTTTTCCTTTAATTATCTTTAGAATTGTCTGCTCCACTCTCCATTAATAAAGTTTTCCTTTAATAACGATAAACTATTAATGACCAACATGTTCCTTTACTAAAACCATTACATCTTATAATTCTTGTGATTTTTTTTTGATTTTTTTTTTTAATATTGCTCCTTGAATTTTGCCTATTTGTGTACTTTCTTCAGTTTGATACTCCTCTTCTTTTGAATATATAAATAATTTCTTATAATCAGATATTCTTCATTTTTTATATTTTTTTACTAATTGTTTATCTTTTTTACTTTGTTCTATTTCTTGCTCTTTATCCTCTAATTTACAAGTCCAACTCGGCATGTTTTCTGACAAGGTTACATTGTAATAATAAGATTCACTATAGTTTTATTTATGAGTTAGTTGAAATAGTTAAATCGATTTTAAATATTTATTCAAATTTTTTAATAAATCTTTTAACTATAAAATAATTAGTAATAAATTAATTATTCAATATAAAATCATTTATTAAAAAATACCTTATTAGAATATCAATTATAGTCATATACATTTATTCTTCACTTATTATTATTTTCTAAATTAGTTTCAATTTCTTTAGCTAAATGGATTCTTAGTTCTTTAACTATATCGATCAATTTCTTCCAATATCTTGCAATACTTTTGAATTTTTTGTTAATAAGTAACTATGTATCTTTAATTCTTTATGCCCTTTTCTTTATTATTCAATAAAAATTAATACAAGTAATATAATATAAATATTAATTAATTTTACCTTATTTAATCAACTTTTGCATATAAGTGACAATTGTCTATATTAAATTTTCTTGTTTATGCCTTTCGATATCTTTTTTTTTAATGATATAAAGTACTTTATCAATCATTTAGCTGCTTTTGTGATGAATTAAAATATGGAATCATTAATTTTAATAATTCAGATATTAACTTGCTTAATATTTTTTTATTCACATCACTTGAATAAACTTTATTTATCTTTAGTTGAAGTTCTTTAGAAATAGTTTTTACCAGAATCTTTATTTCAGCCCTTGCTTCATTTTTTTTTTCATCTTTAAAAACAGTTTCTGGAGGTTTGGCTGTTTTTATTACTTTGCCCTTTTCAACATCTTTACTCTTTTCGATATCTTTATCCTTTTCAATATCTTTACTCTTTTCTTTGGACTTAATTCTTCAGCTCTTTAATATATTCAGCATATTTTTGAAATCTGAAATTATATATTCAATTTTAATTTCAGGTACAAGTTCAGGTTGGTATTCAAGTTTGGATTGATATTTAAGTTCAAGTTGATTTTAAGATTCAGATTGGTTTTGAGGTTCGAATGTTATTTTTGTAGTTTCTACAATTACTATTGGCTCTAATGCCAATTTATATGATTTTGGTTATTTATTATTCTTTTTTAAATATTCAATATACTTTTTTTACTAATTTGATTTGTTAAAAAATATTCTATTTATATTTTTCAGTATAACTAATTATACCTTTAAATCAGCATTTGCTTTTTCTAATTCATTCATTTTCATATGTAATTCTTTATTTTTTAAATAAATTAACAAATTAATAAAAGTAGGTTTTATGATTCAAAAATAATTTAAATTGTATCTTTTTCTTTTCCTTTCAAGTTTGAGTCACAGACTTCAGTTTAGGAGTCAATACTTATACAATTTCAATCACTAAGCTTGTGGGTAATGAAAAAAATGAACTTTTTCTAAGTAATTTGGCTGCTATTATAGGAATAAAATCTTCAATACTAGTGATTATTGCATGCTCTTCTGATATAATAGATGAAAACAATTGTTGAAATTTTAAAAAATGTTCTGAAGGTTGTAAAGGTAACAAATGTTGTAATTTTTTTCTACAAATATTTTTATTAGATGATTTTTCTTGTTGTTTAGACATTTTGGCAAAAATTAATTTTGATTAAATTAATAAAGATATTTATATAAAATTTTATGTATTGTTTTGTCATATAATT